ACACACACACACACACACACACACACACACACGAGTGTGTATTTATCTTTCCTTACCGGGAGGAAGATGTTGGCTCAGTCGTCTGTCTTTGCACGCGTGAATGTTTAATTAAATGTTCTTTTAAAGCTGTTTGGACTTCGGCTGGGATGTCAGGGGAAGTGTGGCTGATTTTGATTGCGGGCTCCATAGCTTTTACCGCTGGCTTTTCTTGTTCTTTGTCTTCTTTTTTCTCTTCCGTCTCCAAGACTTGGGTGGGAGCCTGGGAAGGGCTCTGTGGAGCTGCACTTGCACTGGGGGCAACAGGTTTGCTTTTCCAGCAAGGCCAGCACAACTTCCAGAACACAAAAAGTGAGACCACTAACAGAGCCAGCCCACAGAAGCTCACCACAACGGCTAACAGGCTGACAGAAATATCTGCAAAAAAAAGGGGGTGACAATGGATGGAAAGAAATATTCATCAGTATTGTGCACCACAAGGCAGAAAGAGGGAGGTATGAAAGATACCTGGAAAGTCTCATTCCAGTTAAGGGTCTTCCTCTGTGTGCAGGAAAAGCCTGATGCATGCATGCTAGCTCCCAGTACACCACAAAGGACTTGAGATTTTTTGAAGCTGTGTGTGTCCAGGGGCCTGGGTGCTGTCCTTGAGCTTTTTGGCTCAAGGCTAGTGCTTTAGCACTTGTGCTACAGTTGCATTTTTGGCTTTTTGTGGTTAACTGGTGATAAGTGTCTCGCAGACTTTCCTGACTGGCCTGGTTTTGAACTGTGATCCTCAGATTTCTGCCTCCTGAGTACTGGGATTCTAGGTGTGAGCCACTGGCACCTGTGTTAGCCCAATGAGCTCCTTTCCCATAGCTTAGCATGCTTCTTCCCCTTCCCATAGCTTAGCATGCTCCCTTCCTAGGCAACACTAGACCCATTTAGTAAAGGCAGTGAATAAGCAGCCTCCAGCCCTCCCCCTCCCTTTACCTTGAGATGGCATTCCTCTGGGGCAGCCATCACCCTATAAGGAAGCAAGATCCCTTAGAGTGACCTTCAGCTGGAGGCCCCTTATCTACTACTGAGGAAGCAGCCATAAATCCTAGTCCGCCATGATGAAGCCCCTGGGCCTCACGTCCACACTAGGGTCTCCACCTCCTAAATCTTGTAGGTTATAAAAGGTCACCCAACACCAGACACAATAGCTGGTGCTTCTTCTCTCTTGTGAGAAGGGGTCTTGTTGGTCCCTTTACTGGCAATAAACCTTTACTTTGTTCTTTGTACCTGGATATCTGCATGGTTTTCTGGCAAAATCTAATTTACTCTAACAACCTGGCTATGGGACCCTTGATTTTGTAAGTCAAGGCTGCCAATCTGCCATATTCCATGAAGCTACTGATGGCTTCGTTGTTGGTCTAAAGAGGACTCACTCATTGTCTAAGCTGAGCATAGTCTTAAACAGTTATATAACCTGCTTATTAAAAGATCAGTGAGAGTTACACAGTACTGTAGTCTTAAGTGCTACATAATTACTTACATTATAAAACTCTGGGAAAAAATCTGCTCTTAGCCAGGACTGGTGGCTTACACCTATAATCCTAGCTACTTAGGAGGCTGAGATCTGAGGACCACAGTTCAAAATCAACTGGGGCAGGAAAGTCTGTGAGGCTCTCATCTCCAATAAACTAGCAAAACGTCAGAAGTAAGACTGTAGCTCAAGTTAGAGTGAGTGTCAAGCAAAAGAGCTCAGGGACAGTGCCCAGGCCTTGGATTCAATCCCCTTGACCAACATACACACACACACACACACACACACACACACACACACACACACACAACCTATATCTAACCCAAACCCTCTCCTCAATTTTCTTAGTTTCATAGGCTATGCATTGCATATTATGAATGCATATTCTGCACTGCATATTATGGTTCCTCTCTTTGGGAGTCTCCTCCCTCCCTTTGACTCCTCCACCTTCAACACCTTTCAAATGCCAGTGTCCTGGTATTCATTTTTTTTCCTAAGGAGTTACCTGCTTGAATTCTTCCTTACAAATACCATAGTTCATACATTTGTGTACACTTGCATACAACACTGTATGTGTTTACTCCATAGAGGAAATGCAAATCAAAACAACACTGAGATCTCATCTCACCCAGGCTAGAATGGCCATCATCAAGAATATGAATAACAGATGCTGGCCAGGGGGTGTGGGAGAAAGAACCCTAATACACTATTTGTGGGAATGTAAACATATTCAACCACTCTGGAAAGCAGTATGAAAGTTTCTAAAAACACAAACAACAACAACAGAGATACCCTAAACGTAGCCAGGTGAGCTGGGTGGCTCACTCCTGTAATCCTAGCTACTTAGGAGGCTGAGATCTGAGGATCACAGTTCAAAGCCAACCCCAGCAGAAAATCCATGAGACTCTATCTCCATTTAACCACCAGAAAACTGGAAGCAGATTTGCGGTTCCAGTAATAGATCTCAGGGGCAGCACTCATGCCCTCAGTTCAAACTTCATGAAAATGGCAATACTTCCAAAGGCTATCTACAAATTCAATGCGATACCTATCAATATCCCAAACTCATTCTTCAATGAAATAGAAGAAGCAATCCAAAAATACATTTGAAACAATAAAAGACCCCAAACAGCAAAAACAATACTTAGTAAAAAGAACAGAACTGGAGGAATATCAATTCCAAATTCCAAACTCTACTACAAAGCCATAGTAGTCAAAACAGCTTGATACTGGCATAAAAACAGACCTGAGGACCAATGGAATAGGACCAAAGATCCAGAAATGAACCCACAGACCTATAACCACCTAATCTTTGACAAGGGAGCTAAAGAAATAGGATGGATGAAAGACAGCCTTTCTAGTAAATGGTGCTGGCAAAATTGGTTAATTACCTGTAGAAAACTAAAGCTAGATCCGTATATATCACCCTGTAGTAGAATCAACTCCAAATGGATCAAAGACCTTGATATAAAAGCATACTCCATGAAAATATTACAGGAAGGAATAGGAGAAACTCTAGGGCTCCTTGGCACAGGTCGAAAATTTCTTAATAGAGACCCAGAAGCACAACAAATCAAAGAAAGGTTGGACAAATGGGATTGCATGAAACTGCAGGCAAAGGACATAGCTAGCAAGATCAACAGCAAGCCCTCAGACTGGGGGAAGATCTTCACTAGCCATACAACAGACAAAGGTCTCATATCTAAAATATACCTGAAACTCAAAACACTAAATCCCCCAACAACAAATCCTCAAAGGAACAACTGCCCGAGTAATAAATGGGCTAAAGACTTAAAGAGAGACTTCTCTAGAGGAAATAAGAATGACCAATAGACACATGAAGAAATGCTCAACTTTTCTAGCCATAAAATAAATGCAAATCAAGACAACACTGAGATTCCATCTCACCCCAATTAGAATGGCTATAATCAACAATTCTAATAACAACAGATGCTGGAGGGACTGTGGCCAAAAGGGAACCCTACTGCATTGTTGGTGGGAGTGTAAACTTGTTCAACCACTCTGGAAAGCTGTATAGAGGTTCCTCAAAAGACTGCACTTAGAACTCCCTTATGACCCAGCAATCCCACTTTTGGGCATTTACTCAAAGAATCACAAACAAGGTCATACCAAAGCTACCAGCACAACCATGTTTATTGCAGCATTATTTACCATAGCTAAGATAGAGAACCAACCCAGATGCCCCTCAGTAAATGAATGGATCAAGAAAATGTGGTATGTGTGTGTGTGTGTGTGTGTGTGTGTGTGTGTATGATTATATAAATCCTATGCCTCTGTCAGAAAGAATGACATTGCCTCATTTGTTAGGAAATGGAAAGATTGGAAAAAATTATATTAAGTGACGTAAGCCAAGCCCAAAGAAACATAGGTCCATGGTTTCCCTTGTTTTCAATGAGTAGTACATGTCTAGGACAAGCAGAGAAGGTCAAAGGCTATGTACATATGACCACATAAGATAATGTTAGGCAAAATGTACCCCAAGACAGGGACACAAGTGGTTTTTTTCTTCTAGCTAATGTTGTTAATGTACTTACAATGTACTATGTGATTCTTCTGTTTCATTTCTATGTTCTTCTCCATGGTATAACCCCTGTTTTCAGTGGATTTGATGCCGGTGTTTTGCATCTTGTATATACATTTTTGTAATTTGGGAAGAGGAAGGGATATTGCAGAATGCTTAAATGGGGATGCAGGCTGACCCATTGTGACGACGAGATATACAGGACACTATGTTGAAAACAAACTTTACAATGTGTGCGTGGGGGTGCAGGAGGAGTTGGGGAGGTGGGGAAGGAAGTGATGGTAGGGGGAAAACAAAGGAGGAGGTAACAATACTCGGTACGATGTACTCATTACCCTACTCATATAACTGTAACCCCTCTGTACAACATTTTTTACACCATCTCTTTCTCTCTCACTCAGAGAAAGAAAGAGAGAGAGAGAGAGAGAGAGAGAAATTACCTGGTTCTGGCAATAGCAGGCTTTTCCTTATGAAACTGAGTTAATTCTGATAATGGCAAGGTTGAGCTAGTTCAGGTAAAGGCAGGTTTTTCTTATCAATATATGTGGCTCACTGTCTATTTCTTCCTGCAACTTACATTTTTTATCACCTAAACTGAAGAACTAACCTTATGCTAGGGTATAACATTCCACAAGAATCCATCTCTATGCACAGTTAAATTCTGCTCAGTGGTAGATAGTCCAACATAGTGAATACCTTTCTCCTCATAGCTTGTATTTGTGACTTTAAAAAAAATATTATTATTGTTTTGGTTGGTCATGGGGCTTGAACTTCGGGCCTGTGCGCTGTTCCTCGGCTCTTCAGCTCAAGGTGAGCGCTCTACCACTTTAGCCACAGTGCCACCAGGGCCCAACCAACATCTTTTCTTTGTTTTTATTTTTTCTTACTCAGAGTATTGGCCTTGAGGAAATAAAAGTCCCTCCAGACCACCGTTCGTAAGAGATGGCATTGACAATCATCTATTTTCATTTTAGGGAAGAGCCCTGTGGAAATCTCTGAGACTAATTCCATCTTCCTTAGTACTAAGATTTGTCTTCCTAAAATTGCTGTCCTAATATGTCACTTGAACGACTATAAACTATTTCCTCTAAACCAAAGCACTTTTAAAAGAGAAAGGCTGTGCTATCAATAAAGCCAGGGTAGCAGGTTCTGTCCTTAGAACGGAGATATATAGTCCCTGTGCCTTTCTCAACCTTGCCTCCTTCCTGGTCTTCTCTAAGTCATCTGGACCCATTTCCAATTTCTCATGATATCCTTTAGCATCTTTGTGATTTGACCCCTAACTACAGATCCACTACATTTTTCTGCCACTCTCTTACCCTAACCATGCATTATTTTTTAAAGATTTTGGGCTCAGGGACTGTCTCA